TCCCCTTACTAGGGTACTCACTTGGATACTGAGCTGATTTTGAGTATTTCTACTTAGGAAAATCTCTTCCTTAGATTTAACATATTTTCCTTGAATATAATACCATAGTTCATAAGAATTCTTACATTGGTTTGCTTCATTATAGTTAGTTGACCAAATCTTTGACAGTCACCCAATTCCTTGTATTTATTTGACTATTGCATTCCTGCTTTAGCCATATTTCCACTCAATTCTGTGAAAAAAAAAAAAAACTGTTGTTTGATCATGTCAGGCTTTTGTGATTTTCCTAATATTCAACTGCATATCTACCTGTTTGAATATTCCTAGATGATACTGAACAATCCTGGCAGTAAAAAAAAAAAGTCTGACTCTGTATTTATGGAATGCGCCTAGACATCACATAGACATCATCTCCACTGTACAAAATTTTCACGTATAATATAAGATAGGGTATGGGAAAAGAGTATATAGAGGAGACAAGTGTCTTAGTCATTGTTCAAGAGTCATGGCAACTCTAATAAATTAAAAAAATTAATTGAACCTGGCTTACAGTTCAGAAATTTAGTCCACTGTCATCGCGGTGGGAGGCACAGTGGCACACAGGCAGATGTGCTGGAGATGTAGTTGAAGAGTTTACATCTGTGCTCACAGACAGCAAGAAGACCTGGTTTGAGCTTCTGGAACCTCAAAGCCCTCTACCCATGACACACTGACTCCAATAAGGGCACACATAGTTCAGTAAGGCCATACCTCCTTATAGTACCAATCCTATGGGTCTATGAAGGCCATTTTCTTTCAGACCACCAGGAGAGCCTTGTATATGTAAAGTGATGGACAGCCATGCACAAACACCAATGCTTGTGAAACATTTTTTTGCATGAAGATCTACGTTCACTCCTCTATTGTTTTAATTTTTAAGAGGGTGTTTCTTTTTGTAGCCCTGGCTGTCCTGTAACTCACTCTGTACAGTTCCAGATCTGTAGGCTGGCCACAGGCTCAGAGATTCACCTGCCTCCTCTTCCCTAGTGCTAGGATTAAAGGCATGTGCCACCATGCCCATATTAAATGAAAAAAAAGTATATATTTTACAATAATCTACATATAATAAAGTATCTTCAACCAGTTTGATAAATATTATTAGCTTAAATATTTTTCTTCCTTGTTTTATAGACTCAGTTAGAAAACTATTAGAAAGGCAAGAAATGTAGAAGAGGGGTTTAAAGTGGGATGATGACATCCTGTCTTCTCTAAGAATGACTGACTAGGAAAGATTTGTTTGTGGCCAACTGTTCCAAACTTATATAACAGCATTTTCACTATTACATACGTTAGTGCACTGGGCTGCAAGAGAGTCCAACAAACTCCATACTTTGTAAAGTGAGGTTTTTTTGTCACAATTATTTTATACATTTGTGAAATTCTGAATTTATATTGTTATGTAATGTTAAACCCTTTTAAAATTTATTAACTCACTTTATATCTAGATCATAACCCTCTCTGTTGGTATAATGTTCTTTTTAATGTGTACACCTTATCCTTGTTCATTCAAAAGCTGATTTCTCCCTGCCCCCTGCTTTCAATCAGGATATTGCATTGTGATGCTCATTCTAAGCATCCTGTCTCAACTCTTGTGTAAACTGGAAAAAATAAAGCAACTAGACATAATGTTGAGCTGGGAGGAACCAGAGGTCAGGAAAGAGGGGAGGAGCTAGAAGGCAGGAAAAGAGTGGGAGGAAAAAAAGGCAAGGAGAGCTAGAAGAGAGAACTGGGGAGAGATCTGAGAACAACTTGGAGAGATGGACTGGACCTAAGATTTCACAAAACGCAAGTATAATGTGGGAAATCTAAATGTTAGGAAACTATGAGGGCTTGGAGGTTTAGGAGGCAGTAAATATTGCCCAGCATTGTGTTCTAGGATAACTAAATAAACCCAGTCTCTGTGTGGTGATTTGGTTATACAGCACTTTAGGATTAACAGCAAGTTTTACCAGAAGATATATCAATAGCAAATATTAAAACCACTACAACACCTCTCCCCTCCTCCCATTCCCATACTACCTACCCTCTTTCTCCTATTTTCCCTCCACTATTCTTCGAAAATGGGAGCACTTCCACCAACACATCCAAGCACATCAAGTTCAATCAAGACTGAACACATCCTCTTCTCCTGTGGCCTAGACAGGCAGCCTCACCAGTGGAAAGTGATCAAAAAGCAGGCAGCAGAGTCCCTGTCAGAGACAGCCTTCTGCTCCCATTATTATTACGGGACCCACATGAATGCTGAGCTGCCCATTAGCTACATCTTTGTAGGGAGCCTAGGTCTAGTCCATGCATGGTCCTTGATTGGTACTTTAGTCTCCATAGAGGGCCTCTCCCCCAGCCTCGGCTCTGTTGGTCTTCTTGTGGAGCTTCTGTCCCCTCCCTTCTGTTATTCCCCCTACTCTTCCAAAAGCCTTCCTATACTCCACCCACTGTTTAACTGTAAGTGTCATTATCTGTTCTGATCTGCTGCTGGGCAGAGCCCCTCAGAGGACAGCTATGGTAAGCTCCTGTCTTAAAGCATGTAGATTATCATTAATAGTGTCAGGGGTTGGCTTTCGCAATTGGGGTGGGTCTCAGGGGGAGGGGAACACCAACCCACACAAAAACCATGTGCCCAAAATTTACCTTGCCTACAAGATATGCAGGGATAAAAATAGAGCAGAGATTGAGGGACTGTCCAACCAATGCTTGTCCTAATTCTTGATAGCATTTCTAGAATCAAGTCTGAAGAGGTCATTTTCTTTCTTAAAAATACTTATTTGTTCATCTATCTATCTATCTGTCTATCTATCATCTATCTATCTATTATTTACTCCCTGTTCTGCCTGAATGTGTACCTGCACAACAGAAGAAGGCACTAGATCTCACTATAGACAGTTATGAGCCATGACGTGGATGCTGAAAATTGAACTCAGGACCTTTTGGAAGAATATACAGTGCTGTTAATTGCTGAACCATCTGTCCAGAGCAAGAGGTTATTTTCAGGCTCAAAATAATATCTAAAACATGTGCTTGTTTCTTATAGAACTTGAATGTAATAAAGTGGATTTCAGGAAAATCATATTTAATTTAATGTCTCCTTCATCTCCTTATAAATTTGAGAGACTCTCACATGTCGCTAATGATCTCAATTTGACACAGCCTCAAAAAACAGAGAAAGCTTTCAAAATAGGAAGCTAATGCAAATAAAATTAATTTTATAATATTTAATAAATTTAATGGAAAGATATGCATGTTTGGTGATACATTTATAATAATTATCATTTCCTCTTTTCAGTTTGCCTTCCAAAATATACCAGTATGTTCTATCATTGTATTTTGCTATGGATGAGATCAATAGTAACCCGTACCTTTTACCCAATGTGTCTCTGGATATTGCATATTTTAAAGGTAAATGTAAGGGTTATTTATCATTATTCACTCATCTAAATATAGTGACAAAATATCTTTACCCTCTTCCTAATTACATCTGTGATGTGAGAACCTGTGTGATGGCACTTACGGGCCCACTGTGGAGAACATCTGCCCAAGTGGCATCAATCCTACAGATCAACCTTATCCCACAGGTAGGTTCTTGGTTTTTGTTTGTTTTAAGTGTTGCAATACTGCCTCCTTAACTGCCATTGTCCAAGAGATTCCGGAGAGTAGTGTATACTCACCGATCTATGTATATATCAAAGGGTTAATAATAGGAACTTGAAACTATAGTTTCAACAGTTGTTTAAAATTGAAAAGGGGACAGAGTTGCAGGCATTAGGTCGGGGAATCATTGAAAAAAAACCCCAGACTCAGGTAGTATATAAAGGCAAGGAACATTTATTATGCAGAATTTGCCAGCATGCTGGGGCCACCACTCCTTAGAATGGCAACCAGGAAGTGAACACATAGACTCAATTTAAAGACAAAGCATTTCCCTACTGTGACTAGGTAATCTTTTTATTGGTTGGTTAGTGCTGATCTAAGGGATAGGGGGAATTCATGGAATGTCCAGTTAACAAGCTGTAACCAGGCAACAGAGTGCTAAAAAAAGTGCACAGGTAACTAAATAAAGCCTTTCTGGTTAATTTTTAATTTGATTGGTCAAGTGCTTGGGACTTTTCAAGGCAGTTACTACATTACTGTTTTTGATTTTCAGGGAGGTTATTGAGTTACTGTATCTTGTTTCCATAGGCTGTAGTTTTGTTTTCTGAGAAACAGAAACACAGGCCTGTTCAGCCTAAAGCTAATTTGAAAGTCTGTCATGGTCTCTGGCTTATAAAATATTTTTCCTTTCACAAGAAATGGGAATTTCTAGAAGAGTTAACTTAGTCAATATTTTTCTAGAGGATTTGGAGCATTTAAGTAATACTTTATAAATGAACTGAAAAGATCTTTCTTCCGGCCGCTTGGTTCTTAGTATAATTCTCAGCTTACACTGACCTTGATAGCAAACATCTACCTCATGTTACTGCCTCTGTTCTGCTTCCTATAGATTACCTATGGACCATTCCACCCTCTCCTGAATGACCAAGACAAGTTTCCTAATCTGCATCAAATTGCCTCCAAAGACAGATTCCTGTCTGAAGCCATGGTATCCTTGTTGATACATTTCAGCTGGATGTGGGTGGGACTGGTCATCCAAGATGATGACCAAGGTAGACAATTTCTCTTAGACGTAAGAGAAGAAATGCAAAGAAATGGAGTCTGTGTAGCCTTTGTAAATATGATCCCAGAGAACATGCAGTTATTCATGACAAGGGTTGAGAAATATTACCACCAAATCATTACATCATCAGCAAATGTTGTAATCATTTATGGGGAAGTGAACTCTACTCTAGAAGTGAGTTTTAAACACTGGGAATATTTAGGCACACAGAAAACCTGGGTCAGCACCTCACAATGGGATGACATCACAAGGGAGAGTGACTTCAGCCCTACTGCATTCCACAGGACTTTCACTTTTTCACAACATCATGGAGGTATTTCTGCTCTTCCTAATTTCTTGGACAGAATGAAGTTCTCTAAGGACACACATTATTTTTCTCCTGAAAGACTGTGGTGGATGTACACCAACTGTTCAATATTGAAATCTAACTGTAAAACACAGAGTCATTGTACATTCAATAACACATGGGAATTGGTAGCATGGCACAGATTTGACATGGCCATAAATGATGAGTGTTACAATATATATAATGCTGTATATGCTGTGGCCCATGCCCTCCATGAAATGCTTCTTCAAGAAATAGATTTTCTGCAAAGGAAAAATGTGAGCGCACTAATGAATGAGTGCATTCAGGTAAAGTGTCTTCTATTAGCAACCTTGGGGTACTCTCAAGGTACCCCAAATTTTAAAAATATTTTAATTGAAATAATTACATCACTTCCCCCCACTACTTCCTTCTGTAGACAATCCCATGTTTCTCTCATATTCTCACGTCTCTTTTCTTTGATTATTATTGTTATATATGTGTGCAATCACAAATATATAAATACAACCTGATGAATTCATTTTGTTGTTTGTGTGTATATGGTATAACAGCAATGACAGTATTCTTAGAGAAGAAAGGGATCATAAAGCCTAGGTGTCTGAGATTTATTCCATCATTTATAAGGGTTTCTTTCTTTTTTCATGTATCAAGAATTAAAAATATTAATATTAAATCATGAAAAAATTACATGAAATATTGAACACCACTTTTGACAAAGTCAATGATTTTTTTCAAGGAGGGTGTGAATGAGTCAAAAAATGTTTAAAAACAGTAATTTTTACACAAATTCTTTTGTATTCTTTTTTTCTTTTTTTTATTAATTACACTTTATTCACTTTGTATCCCCCATAAGCCCCTCTCTCCTCCCCTCCCAATCCCACCCTACATCCCCCTTCTTCACGCATGCCCCTCCCCAAATCCACTGATAGGGGAGGTCCTCTTCTCCTTCTGATCTTAGTCTATCAGATCGCAACAGGACTGGCTACATTGTCATCTTCTGTGGCTTGGTAAGGCTGCTTCCCTCTCAGGGGGAGGTGATCAAAGTGCAGGCCAATCAGATTATGTCAGAGGCAGTCCCTCTTTCCATCACTATGTAACCCACTTGGACACTGAACTGTCATGTGCTACATCTGTGCAGGGGTTCTAGGTTATCTCCATGAATAGTCCTTGGTTGGAGTATGAGTCTCTAGGATGTTCACTGTGTTCAAATTTTCTGGTTCTGTTGCTCTCCTTGAGGGGTTCCCGTCCTCTCCACTCTTACTATTTCCCACTTCTTACATAAGATTCCATGCACTCTGCCCAACAGTTGACCATAGTCTCGGTGTCTGCTTTGATAGTCTGCAGGGCAGAGCCTTTCAGAGGTCCTCTGTGGCAGGTTCCTAGGTTGTTTCCAGTTTTCTTCTTCTGGCTTTCAGAGGCCCTTTGTGGCAGGTTCCTAGGTTGTTTCCTGTTTTCTTCTTCTTTTGGTACCCAACCTCATTGCCTTTCAGGATGGGGATTGAACGTTTTAGTCAGGGTCCTCTCTCTTGATTAGTTTCTTTAGATGCACAGATTTTAGTGGGTTTATCCTATGTTGTATGTCTATATGAGTGAGTATATACTGTGTGTGTCTTTCTCCTTCTGGGACAACTCACTCAGGATGATCCTTTCAAGGTCCCACCATTTACCTGCAAATTTTATGATTTCCTTATTTTTCATTGCTGAGTAATATTCCATTGTATAGATGTACTACAATTTCTGCATCCATTCTTCAGTTGAGGGGCATCTGGGCTGTTTCCAGCTTCTGGCTATTACAAGTAAAGCTGCTACAAACATGGTTGAGCAAATGTCCTTTTTGTGTACTTGAGCGTCTTTTGGGTATATGCCTAGGAGTGGTATGGCTGGATCTTGAGGAAGCGCTATTCCTAGTTGTCTGAGAAAGCGCCAGATTGATTTCCAGAGTGGTTGTACAAGTTTATATTCCCACCAGCAGTGGAGGAGGGTTCCCCTTTCTCCACAACCTCTCCAGCATGTGTTGTCACTTGAGTTTTTCATCTTGGCCATTCTGATGGGTGTAAGGTAAAATCTCAGGGTCGTTTTGATTTTCATTTCCCTACTTCTTTTTGGTGTGTCTGCTTCTTCTTTTTCTAGGGTTTTTAAGTGAGCCATTAATTTGCTTGAATGAGCTGTCTCGAATTTCTTCTTGAAGGCACTTAGTGCTATGAACTTTCCTCTTAGCACTGCTTTCATTGTGTCCCACAGGTTTGGGTATGTTGTGTCTTCATTTTCATTGAGTTCTATGAAGACTCTATTTTCTTTCTTTTATTTCTTCCCTGACCCAGCTGTCATTTAGTAACAAGTTGTTCAGTTTCCATGTGTGTGTAGGCTTTTTGCTATTTCTGTTATTGTTGAAGTCCAGCTTTATTCCATGGTGATCAGACAAGATACAAGGGATTATTTCAGTCTTCTTGTATCTGTTGAGGCTCGCTTTGTGACCAACTATATGGTCTATTTTGAAGAAGGTTTCATGAGATGCTGAGAAGAAGGTAAATTCTTTTGTGTTTGGGTGTAAGGTTCTGTAAATATCTGTCAGGTCCATTTGATTCATGACCTCTGTTAGGGACATTGTTTCTTTGCTTAATTTCAGTCTTGTGACCTGTCCTTTGTTGAGAGTGGGGTGTTGAAGTCTCCCACTTTAATGTGTGGGGATCTATGTGTGGTTTAAGTTTTATCAATGTTTCTTTAACAAATGTGGGTGCTCTTGTATTTGGGGCATAGATGTTCAGGATTGTGATGTCCTCCTGGTGGAATTTTCCCTTGATGAGTATGAAGTGTCCTTCCCCATCTCTTTTGATTAATTTTGGTTGAAAGTCTATTTTATCAGATATTAGAATGGCTACTCCTGCTTGCTTCTTGGGTCCATTTGCTTAGAAAGTCGTCTTCCAACCCTTTACCCTCAGGTAATGTCTATCTTTGTGCCTTAGGTGTGTTTCTTGTATGCAACAGATTGCTGGGTTTTGTTTACCTATCCTTTCTGTTAATCTATGTCTTTTTACTGGAGAGTTGAGTCCATTGATGTTGAGAGAGATTAATGACCAGTGGCTGTTAGATCCTTTGATTTTGATGTTGGCTGTGGTCATCAGGTTGTGTGCTTGGTTGCTTTTTGTTTTACTGTAGTAAGGTTAATTATTTCCTGTGTTTTCTTGAAAGAAGCTAATTTTCTTGGGTTGTATTTTCCCTTCCAGTGTTTTCTGTAATGCAGGATTTGTATTTAGGTAATGTTGAAATTTGTTTTTGTCATTGAATATCTTGTTTTCTCCGTCTATGAGGACTGAGAGTTTTGCAGGGTATAGTAGCCTGGG